TATGGTTGTTCTTTTCTTTTTGGGTCTCTTTTTCCTTATCTTATATGGAAGAATATGGAATTGAACGGATGTGATGTGGTCACTGGGCATGTTCGGTCCACATTTTTTTTCCGTTTTGGAATTTTTGGTTACTTATAATCATAACCAAGGGAATCTATTCATCGTACGATCATGGTCTAAGCATGAGTCATATAAGTTGTTCTCTATCTTTCCACTATGAACCATTCTTATTCACTTCTCTACTTTTTTTTTCCCGTTTTTTTTTTTTTTTTTTTTTTTCTCTACTTTTTTTTCATCCAGAATCCTCCAAACAAGGCCGGCCCGGAGGACAGGCCACCCAAACCACCGCTTGGGGCACCACATTTTTTTTTTTTTTTAAAGGTTTTTTTTTTTTTTTTTTTGGAAAAAGGGCCCAATTTTAGAAAAAAAAAAAGGAAATTAAGCCCATAAAATGAAAATATTTGGTAGAAACTAAAGCCTTTTCGAAAAAAATAAATAAAATAGGGCCCAAACAATTAAATTTGAATGTAATAATATTCAAAATATCATTATTTTTGTATAATTTACTAAAAATAGGTCAAAAAAAATTTTTTAGCCCTAAAACTTATAAATATATTGGGCCTCATTTTATTTTTCGTGTAGGGCCTCACAAATGCTCGGACCGGCACTGCCTCCAAACTAGCTACTTTAATGTCATAATCATAGACTCGTACGTAGGGTTCTTTGGTCCAACGCAACTCAACAATGTCAATTCTTGTTATGTGAAAGTTTGCGGATCAATAAAAATAACATATGAGTAATATGGTTAAAATTTTGAAAAATGGAAGGTGTTTTGGATGCATTTGACTAAAAAACTAGCACAATTGAAAAAAAAAAAGAGAACAATTTGTGTGGATGAAGTCAGCCTAAGTGAGAAAATTTGCTTAACTTTAAGCATTTGACTGAACATGATTTTTTTTTGTGTGTTTTAGTTTCTTTTATGTGTAATGAAATATATGTAAGTATTCAAAATATTTCATTAAACGGCCATCAAAATTTTCATGAAAAGGCCAATAAAACATTTTTTTAAAATGACAAGTCCTTATAAAATAGTGTTTAATATCAAATTGACTAGAAAATTTTTGCACTACCTAAAAAAGTAAAAATGAACATATAAAAATACATAAGTTTTTTTCTGTTTCAGAGCATAAAAGGTAAAAAGCACCCGGAAAATAGACTATAATATCTTATTAACATACCAATTTTCATCGGTTTAAGTCTTTTGGACTAGAACGTTATAGTGTTTTTAGGAACACCATGGTGTTCCAGCAGTTCACGATTCTTAACAAATAATCTGTACCAAACCAATTGTTCAGTGCACCCGAACGAATCTATTCACCGAGATAACGCATTATGACATTGACACCATTATCTAAAAGGCAAATTATACGTGTGGCCGCGTCCATCAACCGTGCCTTCAGATCTTTATTCATAAAATATAGTTAATATATAGATTATTCTGTAGAATCTTAAGTTAATAAATACTTACAAAACATGTGATTAAAGTGTTTATTGGTTAATATTCGAACGAAACATAACATTTGCTAAGAATTTTGGTTGCTGCGTTTAAATTTAGTCATAAAAACCACTTCACATTATTTTATAGCTCTTTAAAATACTTTTTAATCAAAACTTCTTTTTGTCCCTTAACCAAAATAAAAACACAAAACAAAAACTACTTTTTGTCATATGGCAAACATATGATGTAGCATATGTTTTGATATTTTACATGCAATTGTTACTTGGTAGTTGATGTCGATCCACCAATCAAAATATTTTTTATAAACTTCATTCATCGCGACATATCGAATAAACTATACAAAAATATGTTATAAACTTTATTCTTTATTGCCGAGAGTTCTAATTAACCAACCAAGCTAATAGAGTACTCAGACAGTCATACGTACATGATATTGTTTTTGTCAAACATTATGTGACTAATTTACACATTTAAATGCATATACGATGATTAAAATTCAAAACACATTTAAATGCATATACTATGATTAAAATTCATGTTTAGAACCCGAACGGTTGACTAGTTAGATATTTTACCATTTTTTAGGCAATTAGGCGGCACCTGAAAACTTAAATATTGCTTATTTATAGTTTATCAGGAAGAAGAAAAATTCTAGTTGATTAAATGCCATCGAATAATTTGAAAAGTTCGGTTTATATAAGAAGCCAACCGATCGATTAATTTTTTTCTGGTTGGCAAAGTACCGATCGATTTGTTCGTTTCACAATTTCTAACATGATTGTCACAATTCTTAATCATCTTCGTAGGATGTTATAGAACATTATGTATTTATGCTTACCTGTATATATATAAATAATCTTAGTATGAGTTATTTTTTAAGATATAAGTACTATGCATTTTTTCAATATGATCTAAAATATCGTAAAATATCTAAATGTTATGTAAAATTGCTATAAATTAATGTTTTATAACGTCAAACGAAGATGACTAAGAATTAGCTAGAACAAACATGCAAAAGATTATGATAAATTACTTTATCTGTTTAACATCGGCAAGTATTGTCGTTTTCGAAAACTTATGGGTCAGGAACTTCTACAACTACGAAATCTCTTTTAAAATTCATTGTCTTAATAATATTTATTAGTATGAAAAAAAAATTAGTATGTCAAAATTTTACTATATACCAAAAAAATACGCAAAAGTTTAAAAGAAACATTTAGATTCCTCTATGACCCAAAATTTTTTTATCGTTTGATGCGAGAAACGTAATTAAGCTCTCATATATATATATATACAATTTTAGATTCAATTCCAGTTCAAAAAAACTTTTCTATATTACATGCCCGAAAAGTTTTATATCATTGAAAATTCAGCGTAAGACTATACAACTTTTAAAGTTCGACCTAAACCATATATTGTAAGAACTCAATTAAAAAATTTCACATTGTTAAAAGTTTTTGTAGCTAGAGAACATGTTAAAATATACTATATAGTTTTGAATTCATCGGATATACTACGTGTAGTTGGTCCTACATAGCTACATCCCATGATGTTTTTTTGGTAGTTCGGTTGCTCAACTTGGTTGGTAGTTCGGTTTCTCAACTTGGCCCCTGAAGCATATTATATGCATATACATACATCTACAATAATAATGTTACATTCACAAGTTTAAGCATCATAAATTGTAAAATAGTGCAAAAAATAATGTGTTACAGACTTCATCAATAGTGGGGTACGTATTTTTGGGATTGATGATAACGTATAATACAAATCGAAACAGATTATAACAGCTGTTTGGAAAATTCAGTTTATTACCCAAAAATAAAATTAAAAACAACAAAATATTGACGAATAAACATAAAAAAAACTTATAGTGTGTGGCTGGCCGTGAACCAACATGGAAAGCCAATAGCTCGTAGCCACCAAAGCACTATCTAGCGCGTGACGTACACGTAGTCAATGACTAATGTTCCAAGGACGAACCTAGCCGCATCATAGTCCACGTTCAAACGAGGCCCACTAGTTTCCATAAAAGTCAACTTCACCCCCAAATAAAACGCTCCTAACTTTTGACCTTTTCGCTTTTCTTGATTTGGAGCCAGTGGCATTTTCGTAAAATCATTTTGATCTAACCGCTTTGATGTTCTTGCTTAGTTTTCCATAACTTCTGTCATTATCACCTTTATATTTTTTTCTCCTAAAAAGCCAAATATTCGTAATCACTATATTTATCTCTTGACTCTTATGATTTAATGTTTATTCCAATTAAAATATTAAATTTATAAAAGCCCAGATCTATTTCTTTTTCCCCTCACTTTTGTTAAATATTTGTTTTTTCTCTTGTTTTTCTTTCCTGAAATTTTTTCCAGTTTCAAGCAAAATCTATTTTCTCTGGAAACTTTGTAACTAGGGTTTTCGTTTTCGAATTTTGATATTTAGAGAAGAGTGATTCAGTGAACCTGGACATGATTTAGGTTTACTGATTTTACTGTTTTAAACTTAGAAAAGAATAGTGAACAATCTGGTGTTCTAAGTCTAAAAAGGGGAGGCTTTTAACTTATATCTCTCTCGTGTACTTTTTCTCTAATTCTTAAATCGTTCTCTCTTTCTGTTTCTACTTTTTAAAATCCCTTTTCACTTTAATAAATTATATAAATCACGTAAAAGCTCTAATTTGGAGGAAAAGGCTAAAAAGGCGAGATCGAATTCTTCTTCTTCTTTTTCCAGGTAAGTGGGTGTTTCACCTTCCAACTATCAATGGTTATGCATAACACCAATTAATTTATTTTAAAACCTCTCATTTATAGATTACACGTGCGTATAATGTTTTTTCTTTCTGGTGAAAGTATAATCCTAGTTGATTCCTTTTTCAATTGTGTTTTTGTGTGTGTGTATAATATCATATTAATCACCCAATTTTATAACTGGCTAATATACAATAATGCATAGAACTAAGAAAATGTTGAAGAGGTATCGTCTGGTGTAGGAGTTTACGATTACAGCGTCTCTTCGATAAGATACTTAATTAATCACACTATCAATCATGCATACTTGTCTACATTACAGAGTCAACACATGTGGTGTTCACTTTGGCTCCAACTAAACTGATAACATTTGTTTTTTCTTTTAATAAGAATATAAAAATTAGTCAGAAAAGAGAACGTAAGTTGATCATTTTTTTCTAGCTTATGTGACAGAAAAACGCCGGTTAATTCCTTTGAAAAACTATGGTTGAAAATGAATTGCGGCCAATTTTTATAATGATCCAGTCACTGTCCATCAACTTGCAGAAGTTAAAGCTTTTTTTCTAAAAACCGAGTGATTTTAATTTTTGGTTTAACGCATTCTAATAATAACTAAACTAATATGCACCAAATTGACAGAACATCTACATAGCTTGAGTTTCGACAAGATATCAATCAAGTCCCTATTAGAATCACCAAAAAAGAACATATAAATTAGGTTTCATATATAGTCTTTTAGGTCTTCTTTCCAAATTTCTGTTCAGTTAGGTTTGTTTTCAATGTTTTTTATTAGGTCTTGTTTCTAAAGTTTATGTTCAACCAAAAACGATGATAAAATCCAGAAATCAAATGTTAATTAATAAGGTTCTGTTTTCGTATAATGCGGCACCTCTAATCGTATTAAAAAAAAAAACTGAAAGGGAATAATAGTTAAACGTTAATTTTTCGTCGTCGTTTATTGAGGGATGACTGTTGGCATTTACTGTATATCTGCCACGTGGCTATTCTGGTCAACGATCTCTCATTATAGCAAAAAAGTAAACGAGATCATTGAATTGAGATTGTTTTCAATTTTGCTTACAAAGTTTGCCACAAGAACCATTGACTTAATTTGTTTAAACTTTAACGTCGATCAATGCAAATTAAAAATTGCATCTATTCTAGTTAGACTTTTCAATTTTCTTAATGAACTTGGTCTCTTAGGAATCCAGATTCATCAATTTATATGATGACCACTCTCTTATCATTAAAATAAAACAAAAACTATCCTAAATTTTCGTTATAAATAAGCTTCATCAATGTTGCTCCAAAATCACACTTAAAGTTATCTTCAACCCTAATATCTATCTTACTCCTGGTTCGATCCCATTACTCCTACCACACAATTTATATAATTTCAATAACCTTGCAAATTAACTAAAGTACTAACCTAAGTAGTCTCCTGTTCTGTTTGCAGAGATACATAGCTATGTCGTCAAGAGCTCACCCTGTGGACGGAGATTTAAGTCCGGCAACGGACGGTGGACATATTCCGATGAAATCCTCGCCCCACCGACATAAAGTTGGGATTCCACCGAAGCAAAACATGTTCAAGGATTTCATGTACACATTCAAAGAAACTTTCTTCCACGATGATCCTCTTAGGGATTTTAAGGATCAGCCTAAGTCTAAGAAGTTTATGCTTGGTCTCCAATCCGTCTTCCCGGTCTTTGATTGGGGACGTAACTACAATCTCAAGAAGTTTCGAGGCGATCTCATCTCTGGTTTAACAATTGCAAGTCTCTGCATTCCTCAGGTGAAAAACCTAAACTCAAGTACATTTACTTGTATCAAAAGTTATCCGTACTTGATTTGTTTCTTATGTATATTCCATGATGATTGCAGGATATTGGATATGCTAAGTTGGCGAATCTTGATCCCAAATACGGTTTATGTAAGTTTGATTTTGACATACTCTCTCACACTTGACCTCATTTGATAAGCATTGGATAATCAAAATATGGTTGATTTTGATTTTACAGATTCGAGTTTTGTTCCTCCGTTGGTATATGCTTGTATGGGGAGTTCGAGGGATATAGCAATCGGACCTGTCGCTGTGGTTTCTCTGTTGCTAGGAACATTGCTTCGAGCTGAGATTGATCCAAGCACAAATCCTGATGAATATCTCCGCCTTGCCTTCACTGCTACGTTTTTCGCGGGTATCACTGAAGCAGCCCTTGGATTCTTCAGGTAATATTGATCTCTTATCAATTAACAATTTCTTTCTTCTTTGATGATCCAAAAAGGCTCTAAAAATGTTCATCTTCTTCCTTACTACTCTCAGATTAGGGTTCTTGATCGATTTCCTTTCCCACGCGGCTGTGGTTGGCTTCATGGGCGGCGCAGCCATCACTATCGCTCTTCAGCAGCTTAAAGGCTTCCTCGGGATCAAGAAATTCACCAAGAAAACTGATATCATTGCTGTTCTTGAATCCGTTTTCAAAGCAGCTCATCACGGCGTAAGATACAATTATACAAACACTGTTTCTTGATTCCTCCATTGTGTAAATCTCTTCACTAATTCGTATATAAATTTGGCTATGCAGTGGAATTGGCAGACTATACTCATTGGTGCATCATTCTTGACCTTCCTTCTCACCTCTAAGTTCATTGTAAGAAATATATCTATCAACAAAACATCGAATTGTTTATCCTTTTTTGTTATGATCTGTTTCTGATCTCTCTTGACATGACGCTGAAACAGGGGAAGAAGAGCAAGAAACTATTCTGGGTACCAGCAATTGCGCCATTGATATCAGTTATCATTTCCACCTTCTTTGTTTACTTAACCCGAGCCGACAAACAAGGAGTCCAAATCGTAAGATCTCAACCTACTCTAACTAGTTACTTGCGCCTCAAACGATTCGACATTGTGGTAATACTTAATATGAATCCTTTGTTTGATGAATGAAGGTGAAACACCTTGACCAAGGCATCAACCCTTCCTCTCTCCATCTAATCTACTTCACCGGTGATAACCTTGCTAAGGGCATCCGGATCGGTGTAGTCGCTGGCATGGTCGCTTTAACAGTAAGTACAAACCAATGACTCATACTTCAATCTCTCAACAACGAAAGTTCCTCATTGAAACCCGAATATTTCAATCTGTTTTCGCAGGAAGCTGTAGCGATTGGAAGAACCTTTGCTGCGATGAAAGACTACCAAATCGACGGTAACAAAGAGATGGTAGCATTAGGTATGATGAACGTAGTTGGATCGATGTCTTCTTGCTACGTAGCTACCGGATCTTTCTCAAGATCAGCCGTCAATTTCATGGCTGGATGTCAAACAGCGGTTTCAAACATCATAATGTCAATTGTTGTTCTCTTGACATTGCTCTTCCTGACTCCTCTCTTCAAGTACACTCCAAACGCCATCCTCGCAGCTATCATCATCAACGCCGTGATTCCTTTGATCGATATCCAAGCTGCTATTTTGATCTTTAAGGTTGATAAGCTTGATTTCATCGCTTGTATTGGAGCATTCTTTGGCGTCATCTTTGTTTCTGTTGAGATCGGACTTCTCATTGCCGTACGTCTCAAGAAAACTAAACCCTCTCTATATTCCCTTCTAATCTTAATTTCCTCATGTTTGTGTGTTTGTTTGTGGACAGGTCTCGATCTCGTTTGCTAAGATCCTCTTGCAAGTAACAAGACCTAGAACTGCAGTTCTCGGAAATATTCCGAGAACTTCTGTTTACAGAAATATTCAACAGTATCCTGAAGCCACTATGGTTCCAGGGGTTCTTACTATTCGTGTTGACTCCGCCATTTACTTCTCCAACTCAAATTACGTCAGAGAAAGGTAAAAACCCTAAACAAAAGTTTAATCTCAACCAAGATCTGTTACTTGGTTTACAAGAAATCTAATTCGGAAACCCTTTGATTTACAGGATCCAAAGATGGCTCCATGAGGAAGAAGAAAAGGTCAAAGCAGCAAGCCTACCTAGGATTCAGTTTCTCATCATCGAAATGTCACGTAAGTTAAAACTTTACTCTTTATTAATCCCTTCGTAATTATCGCTATTTTTATTCCTATAAACAAAGATTAACGAACATACACCATTATTTTTCAGCTGTTACGGACATCGACACAAGTGGTATCCACGCGTTAGAAGACTTATACAAGTCTCTCCAGAAAAGAGACATTCAGGTACATATATACACACATACTGATTTTATGAACTATAATCTAATAAGCAATCAATGTGAATAAGTTGAAGAAGATTTACCTTTTTGCCATAGAGTTATGAAACCTGACTCTGTTTTTGTGATATAAACAGTTGATTCTAGCAAATCCTGGACCGTTGGTGATAGGCAAGCTACACTTGTCGCACTTTGCCGACATGTTAGGACAAGACAACATCTATCTGACAGTGGCTGACGCAGTCGAGGCTTGCTGTCCAAAACTCTCAGAAGAGGTCTGAAATTTACAAGAAAGAAGAAGAAGGAGATGTTCTCTAAGTGTTGTAACAGTAGAGTTAAGAAAGTGACTTTTGCCTTCAATTGTAGTTCTTTATGATTCTTCTATCCATACCAAGAGGTCAAGTGTAAAGTTGACTACTTTTTGTAAATTAAGATTTTTCTATCAAATCAAGTTTAAAATTCCAAAATGTATTAACAACTATGATCAGGATGTCCAATGTAGAGATCTATATATCTCTGGAAATATATTGGTTAAGCCAAATGGGAAACTCAATAATGTGACAAGTTGGAATTTAAAATGCATTAGATATGATCCTATCCATATGTTGACAAAATGATCCTATCCTTAAGCACTAAATCTTTTTGATATGAACGTGGACCAGAAACAAAGCAAGATTCATTTGTGAGTGGTTTATAGAACCTTTAAAAAGTAGCAAAACACTGTAGGTTCCTCTTTCTCTTTACTTTTTCTACTAGCGCAATGCACAAACAAAACGCTGCGTTCTTACAAGTCCTTTTTTTGTTATTGGGCTTTATTAGATAAATCCCCAAACCATGTTTTGTGAATTTTTTAAAAGGCTGCATTTTAACAAGTCTTTTTAGTTATTGGGCTTTATTTGATAAAAGCCCAAATCATGTTTATTCACGATAAGTTACTGGGCTTTGTGAAAACATTAAAACGCTGCGTTTTGATTTTATCTCTTTTGTTTTCATTGCCGCCGTCGTCGGCGTTATCCGTGATTGCAGTGTCAATGGTAAATCTCCTCTCCTTCCGTTCCGTCGGCGTTCATCTTCTCCGGCATGCTACGCCGATCATAACCCGAGGCGGAAGAATCTCGAAACCCATCTCGAAAAATCTCTGCTTTGTCTTATTCTCTTCGTCTCCTAAAACCTCTCTTCTTAAACCTCGCGCTGCGTCATCAGGTTTTGAGCCATTGAAACGATTCTAATTTGACCTCAACCTTATTCCTAATGAGTTTTTTTTTCTTTTTTTTTTTCGTTTTGATTGTTGCAGAGGACCATTCTCTTGTGTTTAAAGGCGATGAGCGTGTGGTGGGTCTTGTGGGCAAAGTAGATGATACATTCGATAACGTTGATAGGTTTCAGAGCTCAAGTACAATTGTGGCGATTGTAACGCCGATCGGTGGACCACCTGGTGCGGTAGGAATCGTGCGGTTGTCGGGACCTAAGGCTGTGGAAGTTGCAAGAAGAGTCTTTCGTTCTGCTAAGAAAAGGAAGAAGAAGGACTCGGATTCGGATTCGTGGCGGCCCAAGAGTCATTTCGTGGAGTATGGAGTTGTTGTTGATTCACATGGCAATGTTGTTGACGAGGTAGATTTGAAAAGTTCTTAAATTTGACACTAATTCACACTTCTCTGTTTAGATGTCTTCGTAATCAAATTACTGGCTTTATGCTTAGATCATGATTTTTAACCGGGAAAGGATTTGAATTTTTTTGACATTTCTACTGGTTTTGTTGTAGATGGATTATATAGATTTTCAAGTGTTTTGATCAGTGAAGTGTGACTGCTTGTTAGGTTTTAGCTGTGCCTATGTTGGCTCCTCGGTCATACACTCGAGAAGATGTAGTTGAGCTCCAATGTCACGGGAGCGAAGTTTGTCTGCGGCGTGTTTTGAGGACGTGTGTTGAAGCTGGAGCACGATTAGCAGAACCAGGTCAGAGACTCAAATCCCTTCTGTAGATTGGTCATTGGGTTTCTTCGCTTATGTATTACTTAATCTGTTAGCTTTAACTATAAGATTAGTAAAATCAGGTTCTTTGCTTGATGTTTAACTTCATCTGTGAGTTTTAGCTATAGATTCTGAATCATTTTTTTCCTTTATTTTGGCTGGATTTGCGGTCGATTCAGGAGAGTTTACACTTCGTGCCTTCCTAAATGGGCGTTTAGACCTTTCGCAAGCTGAAAATGTCGAAAAACTTATTTCGGCCAAGTCTTCTGCTGCTGCAGATGCTGCTTTGGAAGGGATTCAGGCATACACTTTACATCCTTTGTGATAAATCGTTTCTAATAATAGTTTGTCTATGATCATTGTTAACACCTTCAAGTCTTTTTCCTACTGTTTTCTTTAGGGAGGGTTTTCATCTTTGGTCAAATCATTAAGAGCACAATGCATTGAGCTCCTCACTGAAATTGAAGCTCGTTTAGACTTTGATGACGAGATGACGCCATTGGATATAGAGTCAGTTATTAACAAAATAAACAGCATGTCTGAAGACGTAGAAAGTGCATTAGATACAGCAAATTACGACAAGCTTCTTCGAAGCGGATTGCAGGTAAATTTTAAGAATACTATTCATTCTTCTTGTTCATGTTTGAAAGAAGGGCATAAGTTTTTATTTGTCTTCCTTACTGGAATGTTGCAGATAGCTATTGTTGGTCGTCCGAATGTCGGGAAATCAAGTCTTCTAAATGCCTGGAGCAAAGTATGGAAACAGAATGATTTTATTTTATTTTTTTAGTAGAAACTCAAACTTGCAATCTTTAAGTCTATTGATTCAAATAGAGTCACATTTCCACCGGTGCTTTAATTTTAGCGTGCAGAGTGAGAGAGCCATTGTTACAGAAGTTGCTGGAACTACTCGAGACGTTGTGGAAGCTAATGTTACAGTCCGTGGCGTACCTATCACACTTCTTGACACTGCTGGTATCAGAGAAACCAATGACATTGTCGAAAAAATAGGTCAGTATTAGACTACAATCGTAATATTTGCCAAAGCTCAGATCTTGAGAGAGGTTTTTCTTTCTTTTTTTGCAGGAGTTGAAAGATCAGAAACAGCTGCTAAGGTTGCTGATGTCATAATCATGGCGGTGAGTGCTGTCGAAGGCTGGACTGAAGAAGACACTGAGCTTTTACGTAAGATCCAATCAGACAAGGTAATTGTTCGAGAGTCACTTCTTCTTTTTTGCCCCACTAGTCTCACTTTATGACTTTTTTCGGGACTCCTTCATTTGAAACAGCCTATGATTCTGGTGATGAACAAAATTGATTGTGCTCCTCCTAGTAGCTGTGATCAACTAGAAGATCAGAGGAAAAAGGAAGAAGTTTTCCATAAGTCTGTCTTCACATCAGCTGTTACTGGTCAAGGAATTGAAGAGCTTGAAGATGCAATATTGGAGATTCTTGGTCTTGATCGTGTCCCCACTGGAGGACATCAATGGACCGTGAATCAGGTCTGTCTCAATTCTACCTGTAATTCTATTTCTGTTCAATAACTTTTGAATTTTACATTTATACCCACTTTGTGTATGTTTATCAGAGACAATGCGAGCAATTGGTGCGGACGAAAGAAGCGCTAGCGAGGCTGAGAGAAGCGATTGAAGACGAGATTCCAATTGATTTCTGGACAATCGAGCTGAGAGAAGCTGCTTTGGCTCTTGCTCAAATCAGTGGTCAAGATGTCTCTGAAGAGGTCTTATCGTCCATTTTTGCTAAATTTTGTATCGGTAAATAAACCGTTGCCACTTAATTCAACCCCAGACAAATCAAAAGTGTCTTATTAACCCTTTTTCACATACATTGAAGTTTGTTTTTTGGAACTTTTTCGTGTGTATGTAAAATCGACGTACGTACAATAATTAGATTCAACATATACATACATACATCAATGCACCATGTATATGACAAGAAGGTATTTTTGGTCTTTGTAAATTTATAATTTCAATGTCAAAAAATAATAATGAAAGCGAATAATGAAAAAGAACCTCCCCGACCAAAAAATAATAATGAAGTGTGTGGACCAGATGGTGAAGCCCACTAGTGAAAAATGGGCCCGGATAGTGTGAGAGAAAAGGGCCCACTATCAATTTCTGATTTCTGAAATTGATATTTGGAATTGGAAGTTGGGACCAATTGGGTTTGATTACTGTAGATATATAACCTATTTTGTGATTGTGTCCAAAACACGAACGAATCAGAGAGAGAGTCAAGAAAATAAAATAAAAAAATTTAACGTCTCTTCACTTTTTTGACTCACCTGTGTCCACTTGTCCTCTCAATCATACCAAATCATCTACTACCCACCAAATTCCACGTCAGCTTCAGTTTTCATTATCATTTGTCATTTAATAACAAAAAGAAATTTGAAACAAATTTAACGATTCCAAAAGTTATATGTGATGTTTTCAAATTCTAGTCACTCAATTTATCCTCGAAGCATTATCAAATGAATTTCTATCGTATTTCTGTGTAAATGTATCAAACTATTGAATTTGAAGCATGCAATATAATTTTGTCTTTGAAGCTTTTTTAGATAACATGTATCATATGATCTTCTTGTGGTTAAGGCCTTCTTGTGTATTACAAATAAGGCAACTCGTTTTTACTACTATCATTTACCGCTTAAAATTTCATGTTGCATTGTATAATTTGTATCACCAATATTCAGTTAACTCTTTAAGTTTTCAAATAATCCCGTTGAAACTTCTCACCTTGAGTGTGACCTTGTAAGGAAAAGAAGAAAAAAAACTTATATTACTATTTTCTTAATTTCTTAAAGTTGGAAAAATGTCTTGGAGACCTACGATGTTGAGACCGACCATTTTGGTACAATGTGCCACTCTGTTTTTTCTTTAAATTCCTGTGTTAAAGAAGTCACAATGCACCAATCAGCATAAGCTTTTATTGTGATTTTCGATCACAAATTATTTATTTTAAGGAACCAAGAGCTTTTGGTCCGAGTGTCTTCCCCATGACAAAAAAATATACTCTTAATCTTTTGGCGTTAAATCGTCATGCATTAAATTTATAAGGTAAAATTTTGAAATTTGGTGAGAGATATGTGAAGAGGAGAAACGAGAGAAGGCTCTATAAAATTGCAAAGGCCAAATTGAAGTACACATTGTTGTCATTTGTGAAGAAGGTGGTCCATTTTTTTGGTAGCCCAGACGTTAGGAACCAAATAACAACATTTCCTATTCAATTTTTTTTTTTTCATCTATTTTTATTTATTTTGTAAATGAGTTTTCTTGTAATAATTATTATTTTATTTTTGGACTTTACTTTCATGAAAGAAAACGACTGGGTGGAGAAATGGACAATTAATTCTTGGGGGCAACTATCGTATGATGTGGAAAGTTAATTATTGTTAATTTAGTGGGTCCATTGGGCTTAACGGGCCCTTCTTGAATGATTTATGAGAGAATTTTTCTACTGTAAGATATTGTAAGACACTGTAACTTTAATGAATGGATATACGATGTTTTACTTTAACAATCCATCGTTTTTATACACATGTTTCGATGTTCACAAACTTCGCAGACGAACTAGGTTTGAATTTTTAAACTAATATTCCAAGTTTTTGTTTGTTTTATTTTAACCTATTTTAACCTTGTCTACAGTATAAAAGAATTAAGGGAAAAGAACCATAGATTGATGAATCTAGTTAGGTTTTCTCAATTTTTAATTTTTTTTTTCTTTGTAGATAGCAATATTCAAAGATTTGTTGTCTTTAATGAAACAAGGCTAAAGAAAATAAGATTATTAATGAAATCATTTGCTTATGTGAACATATAAATTACTTTTTTTTCTTTATAGATTTCTTTTTCGTCATATCTACCAAACCAATTTTTCAAAAAACACTATGAAATTTGGACAGAATTGTACATCCATTCGCTAATCGCTACATATATAAATGATTAACAAATGTATTTTTACCAAGTTTGACCACCATACAACTAATATTATCACGAATTCTATTATTACATTTATCACAAAGTACAAACAGAATTAATGCAAAATGTTCTTTTTAAAATAAATGTCAAGAATCATGACGTGGCATAATCGTGACGATAACATATTTTTGATCAGAAAAAATCAACGGTCTAGATTGAGTCCTGAGTTTATGGTTCTTCTTTTTATCTTCCCTGTCTCTTCTCCTTCCTCACTCCCTCTTCCCTCTCTTTCTCTCTCAAGATTATTTGCTCTGTTCACAGCTCCAATTCTAAAGAGTAACATAAACACAACACATATACGATGTTGCTTGGGAAGAGACAACGACCACCGATTAACAGAACCACAAGTCTATCGGAGATAAAGTTCGATCTAAACCTTCCCAGCGAATCAGAGCCATCAAATCAACAGAATAATCCAACCGTGGTGAGCCCGTACGGTCAAGCCGTAACAGCAGCCGTCGATCAAAACCGTGGGTTTTTAGATCAACGGCTCTTATCTATGGTCTCACCGAGAGGTAACCTGAGGAGACACTCAGGCGATTTCTCCGACGCTGGACATTTCTTGAGATCTTGCTCACGTTGTGAACGTCTTCTTGTTCCTGGCCGTGACATCTATATGTATAGGTATATATCTAAAATCAGTAAAAAATTTAGACCTTACGTAACTTTTTATATTTTGATGATGAACCACTATTAATCGTGCCTATTTTTTTTTTTATAATGATTTAATTGTTTTTTGAAAGTCGGATTTGGCTTATTTGAATGATTTATGATACTTAATTTGTTGTTTATAGTTTAAGTATGTATTGGATAATTAGTGATAAATTTTGTGTGATTAAAATGGCAGGGGAGATAAGGCCTTTTGTAGCTCAGAGTGCAGGCAAGAGCAAATGGCACAAGATGAGAGGAAAGAGAAAGGTAAATCGGCACCACCGGCGAAAGAACAGGCGGTGACAGCTCCCGCGAGAGCGAAACCCGGCAAAGGGAGAGCTGCAGCCGCCGTGTAATCCCCATTTTCATATACATTTAGCTATATATATGTGTGTGGTTTGCTATGTGTTTGTATATGATTATGATGGGTAATACATATATAAAGCATTAAGCGTTAATTAACCGTGATTAACTGTGTTAATCACCCTCGTGTTGTGGTGAAAGTAGATGATTTTTGAGGGTTCAAATTTTACAAGTTTTGATCTATTTCAAATAAAATCAAATGTATTATATATGTAAGACTTGTGTTTTTGTTCTAAGTACATAATGAGAAAAATTAAGATTACGAATTTACATTGAATTTATGTGGGTGAGGTTTCGTTTTAGGAGATTGGAGCAAGATATTTAGAATCAACGATAGAAACAAATGAAACTGAATCATAGGTTTTATAACATCTTAGATTACGAAGAAATCATTCTTAAAAACAGAAGCGTAATTGGTTAATTGATTATAGGTATTAGGTATACTCTTTCAAAGTTAGAACAAGCGTTTTTTTATTCAAACATCAAACTTACGTATATTATAGTGGAGAATTAATTCCAAATTTTCAATCTTAGGTCAACTAAAGTTGATGTATAAGTTTGTACTAGCATTAGCATTTATGTACTTTTTATACACGAATGTATACAAAAATATACCGATATACAACAAGGTTAATTAAAATACGATGCTAATCGAGTCAGGAATCTAATGCCTAATCAGCATGGGTCCCAGTATCCACCAATCGGAAAAAATTGGTAGATTCTCTTTGTTGTCTTTAAAGTTCGTTACAGTTTTGACAGATTCCTAATGACAATTTTTTGTGTGTTTCCCTTTTGTTTACTTTTGTTAAAATATTTTTTTTTGGAAATTACTTCGTTTTTATTTCTAACGAGATGATTAATGAAACATTTTTACACTTTTTTGTATGATGTATCTAAGAAAGTCTTAAGTTTATATTAGCTTAAATAAATTAAAGTCCACATGTGCATATAAGTTGTATTTTGTAGAACAAATTCTCTAGTATTTTCTTAGATTTTACCATGACAAAATTCTTCATAGTATCTTCTACAAAAGTGTAAAAACAGAAAATTGTACGTATTAACGATATATGTATATGATTGTATATCACACAAATAGATTGCTTTGTGAATAAATTTTGTAGTAGCAAGTTGATATTAAACATTATAAACGTCGTAAGTGAGTAATATAATAGTATACCACTTGGCCAAATTGGCATGTGTCCGCATCAAATTTGGCCAACTATCTGAATTCTAACGTCTATTTAATCTCTCCAACCTAGCATCCACGCTCCTTAATTATTGTGTTACGAAACAAAAGCTGTATAATTATGTTTTTTTAAGTAAAAGCTCTAATGAAAGCAAGTCTAAAATATAAATAAAGATTGTTGGCATCTTTCTCGACCAAATAAGATGGTAAGAAACTGAGAATAATAGCATGCTTTTAATGTATTTATTTGAAATTATTTCATGAGTAACCTAATTAATTAACTATATAGTTAGCTACTGCAGAAAACAAAAGACAAGTTGATAGTTTATTGAATTTAAGAGAAAAACCCCACTAATCAGCACACATGATTCATTGTTATTTATTTCTATTTAGCCATTGCAAATTATTCACTTGATTGATGATAGTTCTTCAAAACAAGTTTTAACGTTTAAGATTTGTGTTTCTAATCTGAGCTTTCGGAAGGGAGAGATTAACAAGGCTTTGCACAAAATGATGATATGGCTAAAGAGAAGTATGAGCTAACAACTCGGAAAAGTGTTGGCCTAAGAAATAAAATAGAGTTTGTGCTATATAGATGTTAATGTGTATGGGTTTTGTTTTTTAGGAGGGGACATGGAATAAGAAGTTGTCCCGTTACTCTATGGTTCTACTTCTAAATTTCAAAAAACAAATATTGTAAGTGTGGGGATAAGAATATTAGAGTACACGTGCAAATATGCCATCTATTAATCTAATCCAGTTGTACAATAAATGTTATGATCCTTTTTACTTCGACTCTAATATAGGGTTTAATGATATAATACAAGGTTAAGTACACTTGAGAAAGGCTAAAAATTGTATTTTATTTAATTGCATTAGTTCTTATGAGTAATTAGTACCTTCTTCGAATTCTGATATTAACTTAATCACATCTAAGAACGGCCGTATATTTCTTTCCGTTTGTATTAAGGCAACACAATAAAATAACACTCACGCATGTTCTTTCGCCTTTATGTCAAACTTTGATTTAAATTTTATTTTTGATTCACTATTTATTTAGACATTTCAGTAGTGTCGGCCCAATTTATGAATTACGGATCGAAATGTTCCATCCAAATTAAGCAAAGACAAGTGGGAACAGCTCATGCGAGGGTCCGAATCAAATAGCTTACTAAATTGTTCATTTAATTCTTAATTTGGACTTTAACAATAATCTCACGTATGTTTATTAAGAGTATACATAAAACAAAAAACTTGGTATCTCAATTATTTTGATTCTTGATCTGATTTAGATATTATACTTTCATGACTCCCCACTTGCTTAGGTATAAAGTCCCTCACATTTTTTTTTGTATAATGCATAAATATTACAACCACACAAAGCACTAGAATAGTTTTAGGATTCTTATTATAGTTTGTCTTTAGATAACAATGCGATTTGATAGGAGTAGGATGATTTCAAATATGCCTTTGCTATTGAGAGATAGGAACGTATTTTCGACATTGTGATTTATCCATTCGATGAGCTCTATCAAACTCATATCTTCCTCGAATCATATATGAAAACTCAACGAACAGGCAAGTCCCAATTACCACTGTCTCGGGTCCTTGGTAAGACCGAGTTGAAAGCTTCATTGCTCGATACCTCTTCCAAGCTACGGTTTAGAGCGAGAGAAATGGGAGAAGACATGGAAAAAATCCGAAACTTGCAGCTCGCTTAATCAAAAGGATCGACAAACAAGTCTGGAACAAACTCTCTTCAATCCGATTACATGGAGATCTACGCTACAACATGATCACACAACCACAATTAACGGTGTACTCGCGAAATAACAAATTTTTGTAAAAATGGTGGAGATATAACATAATTAAGAAATATATATACTTGTACTCCAACTAGTCTCTAGTCTACTATAAAATGTAGAATGAATATATCATCTTGCTTACTACCATGTCACACTGATTCCTCAATAACTAATTGAAACGATTTCCTACCTACTCATCAAATAGATTAGTCACATCATATGACCAAAACCAACGTACAAAATGGAGAAGTAAAAACTATAGATTACCAAAAAGTGACAAAAATAATTTTTTAAAACATAATGGTGATGAATGATCAAAATAATGGTTAAACAAAAAGGTTTTGGTTTGGTACGATAAAATAATTGATGTTTGCCACTAAATGTACACCACATGAATAGGTAGTCATCAATATCATCATCATACGACTGAAACTATACTCAAACTTATGATGATATTCATATTTTAACATTAGCTAATATCGCAGTATGTCCTCTCTTTTTTTTCAGCTACTTCATTAAGTTTGATTTTGCAACTTAAAGACCTTAGCACAATTAAGAAGAACATAGAGCTAATCCGTGGTGAGAACTTCAGAGAATTTGTTGCAAAAAAATTACCGTAAGACAATATTAAAAGTACATAATCAAAAGACCATTTTGATCTTAATATTCTAATCCAACCGATGTAATTACAAACTAACATAAATACATATTCGATTTTGAAAAAGGAAAGAAAAATACATAGCATATGAATGACATTTAGCTTTCCAACAATATCGAATACACAAAGCCTTATCATCTTCAAATATTTGTACCATAATGGGCTCAATAACTATATGTGCCCAATAAGAGATCCAACGAAACATAATGGACTTTAAACTCAATTTTTATCTAATCTCAAACTAACTATCGTTGTTTTGGCCTTTTCTTAATTTTTGACTACACTATAAAAAAAGAAACATTTAATTTTTGATGCTTTTTCTTGACATGTGAGCACCGACAGAGAGAGTAACTACACTACTATCCTCCAGCTGCAATCACGCAAACGCACCGCCTTTTTTTTTCTTTTGCCAACTCGTTTTCTTCCAATCAAATAACGCCACGTTACCATAATCTTATACTAAATTGACGGAAAAGCCCCTGCTCTCATATTAAAATTACGATAATAAACATCGATTTGTTAAATTAACGGTGTGGGCTAATCTCACGCGCTTTCATCATCTTCTTCCTTCCTAGATTCGCTCCTCCACTGTCTTAAATTTCACTATCTTCTTCATTTCCTTCCTTCTCACTTCAAATCCATAATCTCGCTACTTCTCTCTCTAGATTCGAAAAATGGCGAAACTGGTGATGTTGTTGGTTCTCTGTATCTTGCCGGCGATAGCCATGGCGGCAAGGAGGGGAAATATTGGAAAGAATACAATGGTGGTTCAAGGTCGCACTTACTGTGACCTTTGCAAATTCGGCTTCGAGACTCCTGAATCCTCTTACTTCATCCCCGGTATATATCTTCTCTTTTCTCTCAACTTTTTGGTTTCTGCTTTCGAGATCTGAGAAATTCCCGATGTTAATGTTCTCTTTAGTGTTTGATTCGTCGATTCTAATGGAGTAGATTGTTAGATCTGAGTGCAGAATCTCGATTTTGGATGGATTAGTTAGTTTGATTCTCTATACTCGTAGTTTTAACTGCTTTTGCTCTAGATCTGGCTTTAGATTGACTGAAATTTGAAGATACTACATTTATAAGTTGATTGATTCTTGATGGGTTTAAGAAATTTCGTAATCTTGTAGAAGTTCTTGCACAGCTTTGTTCATTGATGCGAATTGTTTTGTTCTCAAATTCACAGATCTTGATTGTTGTGGTTGTAATGATTGTTTTGCTTGTTTAGGTGCAACTGTGAAGCTTTCATGCAAAGACAGGAAGACAATGGAGGAGGTTTACACTGACGAAGCTGTATCAGACAAACAAGGAAATTACAAGTTCATTGTCCACGACGAGCACAAAGACGAGATGTGCGATGTTTTACTTGTGAAAAGCGCAGTCAAAGGCTGCTCCAAACTCTCCGTTGGACGCGAGAAGTCTCGTGTGATCTTGAACCATTACAGTGGAATTGCCTCGCAGATCAGGCACGCTAACAACATGGGATTCGAGAAAGAAGTGAGTGATGTGTTCTGCTCTGCTCTGTTTCAGAAGTATATGGTTGATGAAGATGAGGATGATATTAAAAGCCATCTCTAATTTCTCTATTTAATCTTATGATATGCTGTTTTTTCGGTTTCATTAATGAGTTTCGGGTTATGGAAGGAGATATATTTGTATTTGTTTGATTACTTATTTGTCTTAGATGATGGATGATGATGACTCTGGTGATCGGAAGCTCTCTGTTTCTTATATATTGATGTGTCATTTCCTTGCTTAGGAAGTGTCTTTTATTATAACTATATGTTGCCAGTAAACCGAATTGGGCCGAGTGTTTACTTGGACCGGACCCATGAAAAAATGTTGCCAGTAAACCGAATTGGGCCGAGTGTTTACTTGGACCGGACCCATGAAAAAGTAACAAGTCGGCGTTATAAGTAGGGCTGGGCTTTTAAACCGAACCGAATGTACCGAAACCGAAGCAAAAAAAAACGAACCGAACTGAACCGAAAATTTGAAAATAACCGAATGGATACTAAATTTGATAACCGAAATAACCGTAACCGAATCGGTACCGAACCGAAATACCCGAAATACAATTATATTTTCGAAATAATTAGTTATTTATAGACCAAATAATCAAAAATACTTGAAAAATTTATAAAAATAGTAAAAATACTTAAAAATAACCGAAAAATATCCAAAAATATTCGAAAATACTCAAAAATAACCGAAATATCCGAAAATATTCTAAGCAAAATAACCAAATGGATACTAAATTTTAAAACTGAAAGAACCGGAACCAAACCGAACCGAAATTTCAAAATATCCGAATGGATACTAAATTTTAGAACCGAAAACCGAATGGACCCAACCGATAACCGAACGGATAACCGAAAGCCCATGCACATCCCACATCGTTTAGTGAGAAAGATAGTTCCTTGGAACTTGTCCTATAAATTAAGGCACCTGATTCTTTACTTTGATATATCAACTGGGCTTTAAAAGCCATGGCCCATTCTGTGTATGAGGCCTTTGGAATTTAAATGAATTCCATCATAAGTCGGCCTATTCGGCCGCCCGCTAAATGGGTTAGGCCCAAGTTTTTTTTTTCTCACTGGTTTTTTCGAGGTTGTAAAAATTGTTTTTCACGTTTTGTGTTTTTTTTTCAAATGTTTTTGTTTTTAGACCTTTGTTTTTTTAAATGTTTTGTTTTGTTTTTGATAAGTGTTAAAATTTTAAACTTTGTGTATACTAATTGGATACAACATCCAAACCCCTAAGCGGTGTTCTAGGTTCATATGGTTTACACATTATTAAATTTTTAACACTTGTCTTTTTTTTTTTAATGTTTTGTTTTGTTTTGTTTTGTTTTTTTATAAGTGTTAAATTTTAAAATTTTGTGTAAACTAATTGGATACAACATCCAAACCCTTAAGCGGTGTTCTAGGTTCATATGGTTTACACATTATTAAATTTTTAACACTTGTTTTTTTTCAAATGTTTTGTTTTTTTTTCTTCTTTTTGATAATTTTTGATAATTTTTAACACTTCTTTTTAACACTAATTAATTGGACACAACATCCAAACCCCTAAGAGATGTTCTAGGTTCATAATAATATTTTTAACATTATATTTTTTTCATTGAAAATGTTTTTTTGGCTATTAAAAAATTTAAAGGTTTTTTTTTAAATTAAATTTCTTTTTTGCAAATGTTTTTTCAATTTTAACTAAATTTTTATTATATAAATATATTTATGTTTTAAAATCTAAATTTTAATTTTATTACATTGAAAACAAACCGGACTAAGCATTCCGTCCTATCTTACGGATCTGACCGATTTTCATGTATTGTAAATTTAACACTTAGACTAATTTTTTTTTTCCTCATCGGCAAATTTAACCAAAAACGACCTCGGTTTGTGGTTGTTGAGAAAACTAAAAGCAAATTCCACACATTGACCACATGAAGCTATGATAAAAATTTAAATAATAGCTAATATAAGTTGTAATAAAAAAATATAAGTTGTAATTTCATCCCCACCGATTAAACATGAAATCAAAGATTCAACTTTCTTTTATTAAAAGTACATGTTCACACTAATTTATATATTTCTTGTGCCATAACATTTAAGATAAACAACATGCAAGCTTTCTTAATTAGCATAGCTAAGTGATAATTACGATATAGATATCACCAATGACCACGAAGTGTAGCGACAACAATATTCTAAAGCAACAAAATGATATCCGTTTAGTAGTCATTGAGGACAATAACATATTTCAGCTAAACAACAAAATTGTTTCAATTGTGGATCTTAGTACATAAAATAAAAGAGAAAAAAATACAAATTTTGAAGAACAAAACAAAATAACTAAAACAAATGCAAATCACGAGATGTGTAAAGAAAGGGCCAAATAGGCAGAGAAAGTGAGAAACCTGAAACCATAACTGGAAATTGCCAAATGTCAAAACCAGTTGGTCGCCGTCAAGAAAGCTCCACAAGAACAAAACAATAAACCCTAATAATTTAATACCACTAAGAACCAAATCGACCAAAATCATAAAAACGCCTCCTTCTCGTCGTGTTCCCATTTTAACTTGTCTCTTTTCTTCACGTAAAAGCCATAAAGGAAACATCTTTTTCATTCTCCCCCAATAATCCTTTATAAAGCCTCAAATTTTTTGGTCAAAGATTTAGTTAACATCGACGTGTACTCGACTCTTTCTCTTCTCCGACATCATTGAAATCGACGTTTGGTGGGTTTCTTCTCCTTCCTTGGTTTCGTCGCCATAGCCTTTTCGAATTAGAACAGGTTTGTTTCTTCTGCATTTGATTTGATTTGCGTTTAGGATATCGAATTTGAGATCTTTAGTCACTTAGCTTACGATTCATGATTTCTGTCACGCATAGGAATTTCTTGAAATGGCTACTACGACTATGTCTCATCAAGCGATCGGGTCTATTGTTTCTCATAGACCATTCAAAGCTTCTCAGTTTCTAAAGGAGCCTTTGAATGTACCAATGAAATTCAGACCAAAAAGATTCAAAATTGAAGCAACTGCGTCTCAGATTTCTGTCATTGACAATACTTTCTTGTCTCCTACCAAGAGCAGACCTCAGGAATCCAAAAAGAAATCAAGTATGCTGCTTTTGTTCTTGGACTCATTATATTAAGAGAAAAAAGATTGATGAACCAAACATTGAATTCAAGTTTTTATGTTTTTTTAGATGAAGCAGCTTTGATATTGATTAGGCATGGAGAGTCCTTATGGAATGAGAAGAATTTGTTCACGGGTTGTGTTGATGTGCCATTGACTCATAAAGGTGTGGGAGAAGCTATTGAAGCTGGGAAGAAGATTAGTAACATACCTGTAGATTTGATCTTCACTTCTTCTTTAATCCGTGCTCAGATGACCGCAATGCTTGCCATGACTCAGCATCGTCGCAAGAAGGTTACAAAACGATCTAAAGGTTTATTTGCTCTTTGTCAGGAAATTGCTCTGTTTGACTTGTGTCAGTTTATCTAGGTTCCAATCATCTTGCACAATGAGAGTGTAAAGGCGAAAACTTGGAGTCATGTGTTTAGTGAAGAAACTAGAAAACAATCTATCCCGGTTATAGCGGCTTGGCAGCTGAATGAGAGAATGTAAAACCAATGTCACTTCTCTTGGGTTTCTTATGTACTAAATTCATAAGACTCTGTTATAAAGTTCCCAACTTTTTTCTTGAGTTAGGTATGGAGAATTGCAGGGTTTGAACAAGAAAGAAACAGCGGAAAGATATGGGACACAACAAGTTCACGAATGGCGTAGGAGTTACGAAATTCCTCCTCCTAAAGGCGAGAGCTTGGAGATGTGCGCTGAGAGAGCAGTGGCTTATTTTGAAGACAATGTATGAATGAGAGATTCTTTTATTTTTACCCTTACTTAACATAATCACTTATGTAGATCTCTAATCGTTTATGCAGATCAAACCAGAGCTTGCATCTGGAAACAATGTAATGATTGCTGCTCACGGGAACTCACTGCGATCTATCATTATGTATCTGGACGATTTAACTTCTCAGGAGGTAACAAAACTATCTGGTTCTAGTCCACTATCTTTTATCATGTGGGTTTGCGAATTTGCTGAAACTTAAGTTTGTTTTGATTTTCTCAGGTTACAACTCTAGACTTATCCACGGGTGTACCATTGCTCTACATCTTCAAAGAAGGCAAGTTCATGAAACGAGGAAGCCCGGTCGGTCCTACTGAAGCTGGTGTCTATGCTTATACAAAGGTAAACCAAACTAAACCAACTGTTTCTTCGTCTTCTTTATCTCCATGGTCATGAGCTATGAGTATACTGATATAATGCGTCTTGGTTTCAGAGATTGGCACAATACAGAGAGAAGCTTGATGCGGCGAGTCAGGCGACCCTTGACTAATGTCTTTCAGAAATAAACCAGAAAAATCAGTTATTTTTTTTGTTTTTCGCTTAGCTCTTATGTAGTGACAAAACAATCAAGAACAGTTTAAATATGTATTAGATACACAAATCACATTCATTTCATGTTATTTATATATAAAAGCCAATTCAAAAGGAAATGTCTTTTTTCTTGTTTATGTTTTCAGATTCAGACATTAACAGTAAGAGGGAGCTCTGAATCTCCAACGGTTAAGAAATACTTTCCTTCTTCAACAACCATAACTCCAACTTCATTAGCTCTGCTCAAATGCTCACAAAGACCAATCTCAAACTCCATCTCCGCTTTCTCTCCATTACTTAGCACAATGCTCTTAAACCCGACAAGTTGTTTCTCTGCGCGTTTCCCGTCTTCTCCTCCTCTCTCGTGCCTCGCAAACATCAGCACCGGATGTTTTCCCGCCATCTCCCCTTGATTCTCCACCGCAACAATGACCTTCGTCTTGGCTACATCGCAACCTGCTTTCCCCATTTCTGAGACCAGAGTGTATCGAACAGAGTCCGAGTTGGTTTCAACTTTAGATTGGTTTAAGTAGAGATTTGTTTCAGCCAGAGTCTTGAACCGGTATGAGTAAGTTGAGTAGCTAAGACCATGTCCAAACTCAAACACTTTAGGGCCTTTGTAGAATTTGTAAGTCCTTCCAGGATATCCAGTTGCAGACCGCATTCTCATGTCTGTCATCTGTACATTCACAAAGCTCTGAGGATACCAAGTCACTGGTAATCTTCCTCCTATACACCACATGAGTATAATCGAAAATTAGAAAACAAATCAAAGCCTTTGTCCCTAATTCTTGAAGAAGAAGAAGAAAGACTCACCGGGATTGTGATCTCCGAATATGATTTCAGCAAGAGCAATCCCTCCGGCTTCTCCAGGATAACCAGCCCATATAATGCTTCCGATCTTATCGTTATTCGTAGCAAATGAGATATCGACAGGACCACCACATATCAGAACCAGAACCACTGGTTTCTTTGCAGCATTTGCAACGCTTGTTATGAGATCTTGTTGCTTCCCAGGAAGACTGAGGTCCACACGGTCCATATCTTCTTTCTCTTGAGTCTGGTCTAGTCCCATGATCAAAACCACATGGTCAGCATTCCTCGCGATTGCAACCGCTTGATCAATCGCAGCGTTAGAGCAAGCCACGGAATCACATCCTTGGTGGTAAACAGCGTTTTTGACATAACCGCGCAAGGCATCAAGGGGAGTCACAGTCTTACAAGGCGGACCAGCGTAGTTTCCAAGAAGCGTTTTAGCGACGTGAGCGTTTGGACCGATTACAGCTAAAGACGAAACGCTGCGTTTGGAGAAAGGAAGGAGTTTAAGATTGTTCTTCAAGAGAACTATACCGTTACGAGCAGCTTCAAGTGCTAAAGCTTGATGAGCCGGAGAACAAACATCGTTAGGACTAATGTTTCCGTAAGGTAGTTTGTTTGGATCGCCGTTAAAGAGACCGAGACGAATTCTAACAGAGAAAAGATTGAGTAGAGCTCTGTCAATGTCTTTTTCAGACACTTTCTTCTGTTGAAGAGCTGATTTTGTGTGTTTTTGTAAGTATGATCCACAGTTTACGTCCATGCCGGCTTTGAGGACATCAGCAACGGCGTCTTCAGGGTTTTTGGCGTAGCCTTGAGCATCGTGGATGATTGAGACTGCGTCACAATCTGAAGTAATGTATCTGAAAAACAGAGACAATTTGTTTATCAAATCAAAGTTGCGTTAAAGAGGCAATAAACGAGAAGAAGAGAGAACCGAACCCGCGGAAACGCCAGAGACCACGAGCGGTTCGAGTCAAGAGATTTGGGTCAGCGCAAGAGGGAATGCCATTGACTCGGTTATAAGCACACATGATGCCACTGGCTCGACCTTCTTCTATGCATTTCTTGAACGGTGGTTGGTACGTCTCCGCCAAGTCAGCCAAGCTCACCTTTTTTTTTTTAATCAAAGATTTATATTATTGGACAAAGATAATTAGTCTACGTAAATATTCATATTCATGACAAGACATAAAGATTAGCACATTGTTATGATAAGACATAAAGAGTGCAATCAAGGAATAATTTATAAACTAAAAAAACGGCATTATGTAAAAATTCTACTTTGAGGTGCTAAAGACAACACTTTAGAAGAAAAAAGCAAACACAAAAATGGAAAAAGATGAGTCAAAAGATAGTAATAAAGCAATGAGAATATTGAATTAAGGGAAAGTAATTTACCTGAGCATTAAAGACGTAGCGAGTGATACCTTTCCAACGATCAAGATCGTACGCCGTGAAATGCTTACAACAAGCGGAGGCTTGGAGATGATTGGAGAGTGTTTTCCGACCATCGAAAGAGTCGCCTTGTAATCCTCTGACGTAAGCCACCGCGTAAGTTCCGGTCATCATCGGATCCTCGCCGGGAGTTTCTTGGCCTCTTCCCCACCGTGGATCTCTAAATATGTTAATGTTTGGTGCCCAAAATGTCATCCCTTGCGCTTGCCCTGCGTTGTACACTCCTCTTGCTTCCTTTCCTATCACCTGAATATCTCAATTCAAAAACATTCTTATTTATTCGAATAATTAAAAACAAATCCTAAAACACCACCTAAAGTTTTAGCTCCAAAAATTAACATTAGTTATCCAAAAATACCATAAACTAGGTTCAACCATTTAGCATTTAATATTAAAAAATGTAACATCCCTTAATATATATTTTTAAGTTGGATTTTAGTCGTAAGTTTCGATATTACTTAGAAATTCTCGATTTTGTTAAAATTCCACCAAAAAAGCTTATAAGCACGAGAAAAAACAAAGAGAAAGAAACGAACTTGAGCAATGCGAAACCATTCATAGGAGTCGAATGAAGCAGCGGTTAAGATGACTTGAGGAAAGCTAGTGGCTGCTTTAACCGTTCCGTTAAACCGGATTCCAAGACCGACACCGGCTACTCCGTGTAAACCTTCCGACCACCATTCGTACGCCGGAACTCCAAGACGCGGTATCCCCGGAGCTGTATTCCCCAACTGCGAGATCTTCTCGTCAATGTTTAGCCTCGAGACAAGATCACGCGCTCGTTGGCTAATTGGGAGGTCAGTGCGGCAGAACTGGTAGAGTTTGGTGGTTGGATTCGAAGAGTCACAGGAGTGCGGCGGAGGAGTTGATTCGACGCCGTGGACGATGAAGAGAAGAAGAAGAAGAAGCAGTTTAGCCATGGCTTCGAAATGCGGAAAAAGAGAGATGAGAAACTGATGAGTGTAAGAGAGAGTGTGACAGAGTCTTCTTCTTCTTATTCGTTCCCCAATTATGTCTCTAATGAATTGACTTAAATAACCTTCGGATTCGACAAGGTGACCTAAGAATTTATTATATTGTTGTTTTTCAATAACTCTTTTTTTTTTGAGTGAATTTGTGCAGAGGTAAAAATGGGAACACAAATTAGTGCAGAGGTATTATAAGAAGTTGTAAGCTACGAGGTATTATCAAAAGCTAGAAAAGGGTCACCTTTAGATGTTATTTACAAAATAACCAGGAAGCGTAAAACGTATGCGCGTGGGTTTGGCTTCTGACACAAAAGTACAATTAAACTGACACATATTAAATGCTTGTCAAATACCTGACCCTTACGCGCCCCACATGCGCATGTCCAACATAAGAGTTGCTTAGACATACACCTTTTAATATAGACGTCTACATATTTAACAACAGGAGTAAAACTCATTGAATATGTAGTTGTACATAACTAGATATACATGTATTTATAAATGTAGCTATCTATAGCTAATGAATGAACATGTATATCGCGGGAAAAGTTAAAACGTAGAGCCATAAAAGGTTAGAAGGTATCACCAACAGATTGAAACAAAAATACAGATACTACTAGTTCAGATTTCAGAAGATGAAAGACTGGTGGAACAATGGTTCAAAATAAAGAAGGAGGATAGAGGAATAATCTAAAAGAAAACATAGGTAGATTGTAATAAAATACATAACCCTCGTTGGGTTTCTAATGAAAGTCAGGATAGAGGAATAATCTATGCAGGTTTGGACATTCACAAATCTGCATAGATCTATACTTTCGTGTTTGCATGTTCATAAGTTTTCTTGCGGCTCCATTAACTGTTCATCCCCCTCGTAATCCACATCTAGCAAGACCAACCTTGTTCTGTCTCCACCTGTTCATGTTTTTAGCATTCCAAGTTAATACATGGATATTCACAATTGGATAAGACTCATTATTTGCAAATGTAGAGCTCTATGTTACATTGGCTATGTTACCTTCGAGGTATGTGTCATCAACCACCGGCGCTGCGTCCCTAGCAAAAGTTTGCACTGGCATTTCAAGCATATAAACATAATAAACACGACGCTGTTTTTCTTATCGGTTTGAATGAATTAGAAAAGAGTTGAGAGAGATATAAACATAAGATCTGCATCTATTCTTTGTAGATCTATTTGTGAAGATCCAAACAATGTTTTAGATTCTTATTTGTATCGTGAAAGTTATCTTTTCCGATGAATAAACAGTGGCGGTGTAAATAATAAACACAACACTGTTTTTGTTATCACTTCGAATATTAGAACAGAGTTGAGAGAGAGATGAACATAAGAAGGAGAGAGGTGCGTGGGGCCATGAGAATGAGAGAGGTGCGTGGGGTTAAAATCGGGAAAAAGGATGGCTAATTATTATCATTGTCTTGAGTCATATGGCCTAATACCGAAAATTTAAATAACTCAAAAAGTAGTGTCTCTCACCCAATTATCTCTTTTTTTTTTGGACCATTTATTGGACATCTCAAAAATTTTATTCAATACTGTAGTTGAATAAGTATAATGAAGTTGTTAAATTATAGTCTTGTGAAGTTTTTGTGTCTTTTTCTAATTTGCTATTTTAGTTTTTTGTTCCAGATTTTTATCTCATCTTAAATCTTTGAGATCAATTATTTTATAGTAATTATTATTTTAAAAGTAATTATATCAAAATTCATCATTTTTATATAAATAGAGATTTGTTTCATTTAATTTGGACTACACATAGAAAAACGTGTTAGTTTTCATATAATCTAAAATAAATAAATAAAATAATTTAATTCTTATCTATTTCTATTTAATTTTATTTGCTAATAATTATTAGTATGTAATCACACAAAAAGACATAACTAAGGAACAGAATATGAGATGAAAAAAAAAAGTAGGATATAATGTTGAATTGTATTAGATAAAACTATTGTAGAATATAAAAAATTATATGAATGTTGAATTATTAGATGGAAAAGAAAAAAAATGATGTGCAATCAAAAAAAAAAAAAAAGGATGTTGAATTGTTATGCCATTATTACTGGTCTTACGGGCCAAAGCCCAATAATATTTTTTTCAAATAGCTTTTAAGGTTTTTGCTTTAAGCCATTTAGCATTTTTTTTTCAATGTACAGCCCAATTAGTCTTTCAAAACGTTTTGGTATCAAATATGTAATATGTATCAAGAATTGTTAAGAAATGTACAAATAAACCGTCCAACCAACCATAATAAGTGAAAATGGATAGCAATATTTATTATAACTTAACTTATCAGGTCAGGCCATCTGTCACAATAAACCTAATTGTCATCTATAAACAAGTTCATATGGTCACGTAATTAGGTTTTTTTTTTTTGTCATCATCACGTAATTAGGTTTGACTGGATAAAAATGTCGGTTTCAAACAAATAATAAAATGTTATTAGTAGATAATTTGTTTCTGTCTCAGCCAAGTGTTTGGTGGAAGGAGCTTTGTAGAGATTCATTTGAAGTATATTCTAACACAAATTCAACATGTTCACAATAGTTCACAGCTGGGTATATTTTAAAATTACAATATGTAGAGTTTTTATTTTTACTTTTTATGTAATTTCTGATAGAATTCAAACTCAAAACTAGTGCCAGGTGGAGGAAGCTAAGCCTATGCAAAAATTATGACCGACAGGTGTCACTGCTGGTAGAAGTAGAGAAGTCCTTGTGACGACATAAACTGGTCGTACCGCTCAGTGGTGGTGATTTGACGAAACTGCCCATTAAGCGACTGTGAGATGTCGGTAGACTACGATGGCCACGTTCCAAAGAGAGTGACACTAACAACAAAACATATTTCATTACTAATTGTTTGAAAATTTCCTGGTGGTCTATTATTATTAAATACTCTAGTCTTCCATAATCTTTTGTTCATTAAAATTGTCTGACGCTTGTCTCTTCCTTTCGTTTTCCACAAGAAAATTCAGATACTATCTTTAAGTAACTCTGTTTTGATATAAACATATATTGAAGTTTAGTCAAATTCTTCTTCACCAGAATATCCAAATCGAGTCATAAATGGAAAACTAATTAACATGACATCTATTACGTAATTCAAATAATTAATGAAAAAAAAAAACAAATCCTTCTTTTAAGATAGATATTAATAAAAAAAATGGAAAACGCCAAAAATCAACCCAGAAAAATATAGAAACAAACAATAATTTTGGCTTAAAACGAGATCCCAATAATTTACATCAGTAAGATTTCAAAGTGTGTAATTAGAATAAACAATAAACCACTTACCAAAAAAAAAAGAATAAACAATAAACCCCCACACTTTTGAAAGATATTTTGTTTCCATATTTGTCGCATATCAATTCTTGAGAAATTTAACGTTTTGTTTTTGACCAAGTAACGACTGTTCCGGTAAAAATGTAGGTCCCAAAACTTCCCGCGGACTAAACTCGTTTGGTTTATTTATTTATTACCGGCTCTGACCGGTCCTACCAAAACTCTCTCTGACTCTGTCCTCTCACTCCTCCACGGCTCCACCGTTATAACTTATATAAGTAAAGGCCCTTAAAACTCCAATTCCAAAACTAAACCACACAAAGCTTTTGATTGATTACTGAGAAAGATACAACTTTTGAACACAGGTTTTGTTTATTTTTGTCTCACTCTCTGTTCGATTATACGATTGCTTTAGCTGTTTCTTACGTTTATTGATTTGATATTTTGTTCTTGATCGATTTCACACCAGGTTTTAAGATGGATATTTTCGACAACTCTGATCTTGAATACCTTGTTGATGAATTCCACGCTGATTTCGATGATGATGAACCCTTTGGAGAGGTTGATATCACCAGTGATTCTGATTCTGATTTCATGGACTCCGATTTCGATTTCGAGCTGGTATGATTACTTTATGCAGCTCTGATTTAGGAAAGGCTTGAAATTTCAATTGATGTGATGAATAATAGACTTGTTATTGTTGTTTTTTAGAGTCAGAGTAAGACGAACAATGATACATCAGCGTTAGAAGCTAGGAATGGAAAAGATATTCAAGGGATTCCTTGGGAGAGCATGAATTACACGAGGGATCGATACCGTGAGAACAGATTGCTACACTATAAAAACTTTGAGAGTCTCTTTAGATCAAGAGAAGAGCTTTATAAGGTTTGTCTAAGCCAATCAAAGTTTCTAGCTTTTTGCTGATGGATGATTTGAAATCTTGAGTTTTGGTGTGCATCTTTCTCATGGTTTCTTGTATTTGATGTTGTCAGGATTGCTTGCAAGTTGAGAAAGGAAAAAACTTTTACGACTTTCAGTTCAACACGAGGCTTGTTAAGTCCACAATTGCACATTTTCAGGTAGACAACTTTGCTTAGTTATGTTTTGCAATGTGTTGCATACTCTGTTGCTTGATGTCTAGAGTCTTTATCATTTTATAATTACTCTGTTGCTCAGCTCTTGTGTTTAATTATCGAGTCTGCAACTGCAAACAGTTGGCCTCTTATCAAGCCTGAGTTCTCTAGTTCCATGGAATGATTTTATGAGATTGGAAAATTCTAGTTCCATGTTGCTTTCAGTTGTTGAGATTGGAAAACCCACAAGTCCACAACTTTTAGTGAGACCTGCCATTGTTTATAAATGACAGTTCAAAACTTATCTCGAAGATGAATATCATGTGTATCTGTTGTCATTGTTTATTACTGTTTGATATTAGAATTTGCGATTGTTCTTCCTGTTTTCTTATGTTGATCATTGTTCCCACCCTCAGCCCTGTAGCTAGGGGTGTTGATTCACACCAAATCCTTTTCTTTTGCAGATAATCTTCAAGGCTGCTTAAATTTAACCTGCTCGTTTCTAACTTCTCGAAATATAATAACTTAGGTTCGATGTTTTTACTCAGGTACAATAATACTGTGTAAGGTTCTAACTGATTCAAAAAAGTGTCATGATATGTGTCTAGGATAGTCGAGGGAGAGCTGATAAGTCTAACTGGTCCAGGCAACTTTTTAACATCTTCATACGCCTAGAAAATTATAGTCACAGAGTGTATTAAGATTCCCTTGCACATTAGACGTTGCTTAGTGTCCACTGTTAAACCACGGGAACTATATTATATAGAAGACTTGTCGTTAACACGCTGCTGCGAAACAGTTTCTATATGCCTTAACCTTTTCTTAAACAGGTTGGGAGAGCAGCTGGCGCCTTAAGGAAACCTTTGTTAATATGGTATGATAGGAAATGTTTGCTAATCTACAAGGACTCTCTAACTTTGTCATCCTTCTTTCTTACAGGAAATCTTTTTTGTTCGAGCTTACATATGACTGACTATATGAGTGATTCATTATCATCTGCATTTTTTCATGATACAATGCTCTTGTGCTTACTATTCTTTCCTCTAGTTTTTTGGTCTTCTTTTTTTTTCTGGCACAGTTGATTCATAGGTCTGTAAACGATTATTGCTAAAATCTGAGACATTATAGAGATTAGTTTTTGAAGTTCACATTTGATTACTGAAACAGTTGCTTTGTTTTCTTTTTGGCTTGTGTTTTGTGTGAGAACTTGCATATTCTCTTCTTCTTCTTTTTTTTTTTGTCTAAGATGACCAGTTGTGTCTTATGCGAGAATCATAATCTCTATTGTCTCATTTTACAGCTGAGGAACTTGGTATGGGCAACATCAAAGCACGATGTGTATTTCATGAACAACTACTCTCTCATGCATTGGTCATCTTTGCTGCAAAGGGGCAAAGAAGTACTTAATGTGGCGAAGCCCATTGTTCCTACAATGGTGAGCAACCTTGCTCTTCCTATCACTTGTTCTTCGGAATTCAACTACATATTAACTTTGGTTATTAAATCTGCAGAAGCAGCATGGATCGTTGTCGCAGTCTGTATCAAGAGTCCAGATAAGCACCATGGCAGTTAAAGACGATTTGATAGTTGCGGGAGGGTTCCAAGGGGAACTTATCTGCAAGGTATATATTAATACATTCTGTGTTCTACAGTGATCTAATTGTTAAATTGGTTTCTCACTTTGCTTGGTCTCTCTGATTACAGAGAATCAACGAACCTGAGGTTGCTTTCTGCACAAAACTAACATCAGCTGAAAACGACATCACCAATTCGGTTGACATCTACAACGCACCTAGGTAATTACTGTAACAGAACATATATACACTGGATTCCAAAAAAAAAAAAAACTGTTCTAATCCTTGCTACCTTTATCCATGTAGTGGCTCGTTAAGGGTCATGGCCGCGAACAATGACTGTACTGTCCGGCTATTTGATGCCACAAAGTTTGCCTTGCTCAACAGTTTCGCCTTTGATTGGTCTGTAAATGTAAGTGCATCTCCTTCTCTTAAGACTCAGCTGTTCTCATCTGCTATCGATTCAGAGTGTTCATAACTAATGCTTTATGTGCGTATCTGTAGAACATCTCCATCAGTCCAGATGGTAAGCTAGTGGCTGTTCTAGGGGACAGTCCAGAGTGCTTACTAGCAGATACCGGATCTGGAAAAGTGATCCACGGACTCGAAGGCCATCTAGACTACTCGTTTTCATCAGCATGGCACCCAAACGGTCAAATCCTAGCCACGGGTAACCAAGACACAACCTGTAGGCTATGGGACGTAAGGAACCTGTCTCAATCACTCAAAGTGTTGAAAGGAAACATGGGAGCCATCAGAGCCTTGAGGTTCACGTCTGATGGACGGTTCTTAGCCATGGCTGAGCCAGCAGACTTTGTACACTTGTTTGACACGGAAGCTGGTTACACTCAGTGTCAAGAGATTGATCTGTTTGGAGAAATAGCGGGAATCTCGTTTAGCCCCGACACGGAGGCACTGTTCGTGGGAGTAGCTGATCGTACGTACGGTAGCTTGTTGGAGTTTAACAGGAAGCGAAACCACTCGTATGTTGATTCCATATTCTGATCTGACTCCAATCGTTTGAAGCAAATTAAGGAGCTACATATTATTGTATGTGTGAGATTATGGTTAAATTATGTTAGTGGCTTTTGGAGGGGTTAAAAAGTCTTTGTTTTTGTGACTTTCCCTTTGTCATGTTTATGTGGTTTTTAGAAATTCCATCAGACTTACATTTTGATCAGGCAGTATATACTAGGAATTGGACTAAACAAAATATGTACATTACATAAATTTTGATGTTTTTGCTGTTTGATCAATTGTAGAACATATATAATTTGTATTTTAGAGCAGCATCTAATACTAAAAGTAGTATGCATAAATAGATGGTTAGAAGATTTGATGGTCGAGATTTTCTTCTTTTTTTCTCAAACGAATAAAGCAATTATGGATGTGTCATCATGTGTGAGTGAGTCACTTAATCTACTAATGTTAAAGCTTTACGAAACATTCCTCAATTATACCTAACCTTCTTCTTATTCCACAAAATAAAAAAAATTTAACACTTATAAAAAATAAATTGAAAATTTAATTATGTGTAAACCATATTAAACCTAGAACACCTCTTTGGGGTTTGGATGTTGTATCCAATTAGTTTACACAAAATTTAACACTTAAAAAAAAAAAACAAAACAAAACAAAACATTAAAAAAAAAATATGTGTTAAAAAATTAATTATGTGTAAACCATATTGAACCTAGATCACCTCTTAGGGGTTTGGATGATGTATCCAATTAGTTTACACAAAATTTAAAAATTTAACACTAAAAAAAACAAACAAAAAACAGTTTTTAAAAAAATAAGTGTTAAAAGTTTAGTTATGTGTAAACCATATTGAACCTAGAACACCTCTTAGGGATTTGGATGTTGTATCCAATTAGTTTACACAAAATTTAAAATTTTAACACTTAAAAAAACCAAAAAAAAAACAAAACAAAACATTAAAAAAAAATAAGTGTTAAAAATTTAATTATGTGTAAACCATATTGAACCTAGAACACCTCTTAGGGGTTTGGATGTTGTATCCAATTAGTTTACGCAAAATTTAAAAGTTTAACACTTATCAAAAATAACCAAAAAAAAAAAACAACATGCTACGTGGCTACGAATTCGGATCCGAATAAAAACTAAAGTTTTAGCATCGCATCACAACAACTGGTTATATGGGGTGTTAAAACTCGAAGCCCACCTCGATGTCCAGAAGCAGCAGCTCCAGGACTTTATTTATAAGAGAAATTGTGGCTTGCAAATTATGATTTGGTCGATGTGGGACAAAAATAACAACTAGTATCATGGGCTTTAAATAGTTTAAGCCCAACTCGTTGATCAGAAGCTATCGCATAAGATCAAACCAAAGAAGAAAAAGGGTTTTGTATCTTAATATGAAGAAAACCAATTGGTTTATATATTATGCTTCAGTTGAACTTTCAATTTTGGCATATGTTGTTGGGCTTTTGCACAAATAGCCCATTAAATTGACACCATTAATCACTTTTGTCTTCCCCCTTCTTCTAGTGAAAGAATGATACAAGTTAGGTGATAAATGTGGCAATGATGGTTGAGATTGAAAGGATTTTAGAGCAGCATCTAATACTAAAAGTAGTACACAATATGATATAAAGATGGTTAGAAGATTTGATGGTCGAGATTTTCTTCTATTTTCTCAGACGAATAAAGCAATTAAGGATGTGTCATCATGTGTGAGTGAGTCACTTGATCTACTAATGTTAAAGCTTTACGAAACATTCCTCAATTATACCTAACCTTCTTCTTATTCCACAAAATGAAGAATCCTTGATTCTTTTTCTACAATAACCTTTTCTTTTTCTTTTAAACGTGTCACATATTAGAATTGCATCTTAATTCCTTAGAGAACAACAAATCTTTTGATATTTTTCATCGACAATAGTGGTATTACAATTCAAATTGGGAACTATGTGCTTTTGAAAAGACAAATGTATTAGACTCCAAATTCTGTACTTCTTTTTGGATATCCATTGATATGAAAATAAAACTTGTACTTAATAGGTATTTAAAAATGGAGAAATGGACCATACGTCACGTTAATCACGATATCACGCGAAAACGATAAAACCAAAGAAAAGAAAGAAAAAGGTATTTTGAACAAAATGTGACGGAGACAATTCACCTAAAGTTCACATGCCATTCATCTCCCTCACTAAACGACATCCAACTGCTCTGAAAACGATACCACCCTCAAATTTTTTTCTTGCAAAACTCTCTAATCTAGTCGAAATAGTGTCTATTCTGTATCTTATAATAATAAGAATTTCTTATATCTTCTTAACAATATATTATCAAAGTATAATCACAACAATTTCTTATAATTGTGTCGATAAATGGGAATGGACCATAAAAAAAGAGTTTGATTTGTATTTTGTTTTATGTGACGAAAATGAGATATTTTCAAAGAGATATAAGTGGAGTGAGGTTGGTTGCAGTTCACGGTGACCACACAGCTAGTTAGATGGCAGTTCAATCTGGGCCATTGATTATAAACACGTGGCGTAAAAGTAAACGGTCGTTTGATTTTTTGAAAAGATACCAAAAACGGCAGCGTTTTATGTGATGAGAAAACCGCGTGAAGGGGATAAAAAGAAACTTTTAAAATAAAAGGAAAAAACTTTTCAAAGTAACGAAACGATGAGACGGACACGCGCGATCCATGCCATCAAATATTGATCTGATTGGATACCATTTTACTTTTCTCTTTTTGTTTTATATTATGAAATATTCAACAATTTTTACGATACACCATATGAAATATGAATGACAGAATGAGACATGCAAAATTACAAAAAATAAAATAACAAATACAGATAATTTAAGGCTTCTGAGTAGTCCAGTTATCTGTATTTTGAATAAAAGCCAATGAAAATAATCAATATTAAACAAACAAAATGTCAGAGTTTTGGAAAGATATATGCAGATTAAACGTGGAAATGTTGCCGTAAAAAGGATGGAAATATTTGTTATGCTGACATGATCCACTAATTGTTCCTCATAATTCTCGTATTATTCCATGTGAAATTTTGTGTATAAACAAGGGAAAATACTTGTGTTTGTGTACAAAACATTATCAGTTTTTTTTTGTAAAATCATAAAGGACTCTTTCAATATATGAAAAGTCATGTATCCACCCTTGACCGTTGGCTAAGTTTATTTTTATATCGCGCAGGTCCGCCGCTATTTTAGTCCATTGTGAAACTCGAAGTTTCTTCCGCCGTCGCTGCAAACGGCTTACGTGTTCAATGGGCACGTGCTTCCCACATGCATCCCTTACTTCGCCTTGCATCTTCCATGCTCATCTTCTGACTTTTTAATAATATACAAACAAATATTGCTTTTTAAATTTCAGTCTATCTTACAAGTTACAACTCTAGACGCTTCTATTTTTTTACATACAAGTGGTACTTCAATTTTCTTTACCAAGTTGGTATTAAGTTTTCTAAAGTTTGTGTATTAAATAAGCATGTGTTTGGTAATGATGCAACTAAATACAAACTATGAAACTAACTAGCGAGACGTTATGCTGTTATACCTATATTATAATTTTTTACTCGACCAGTTATTGTTGATTTTTTCAGTAACATGTTATATTTCTTATGCAACTGAAAATGTTAAATATTTATTTTCCAAGGTAAATATTTTTTCCATTGCTGATAGCAGGTTAAAATTAATAAGTAAAACTGTCTAAATGGGAAAAGTGGTTTTTCGTTTTGCTTCTCATTCTAATGACTTGTCGTCGACTCGTCGTGATGCAATTATTCATAAGAGATCATAATCGATGTGTTGCATCTTTGTCAAAATAATTCAATCAAGTACAGAAAATCGAATTTGAACTCGAAGCTTCTACATAAATACATAATAGTACATTCATAAATTTAACCATGGTCATTTGCAAAAAAAAGTTCATTAGATGTAGTAGGTCTTTTTCTTTGGTCAGGCATTTGTATTTAAACTAGCGATAAAATCGAGTTTTGTAACAATTGCGGCTAGAGATAATATACACAGTCAGATAAGATGGCGAAAGGTTCGGACTTAGGCTAAAATATTAGGGTAGTTTTTTTATCAATATGATAATGATAATGGTGGAGTTCTCAGCCAATCCCTCTCTAAACCTCTAGAGAGTTCTATTAGTTTTTGTAATAATTTATGTCGACTAAAGTCTAAACTACCCATTATAATTATCATCATGCATGATTAATACTTGCGCGACTAAACAACAACTTTATATATTAAATTATCTTAAATCGTGATGTAAATCTATATCACCATCGGCGTCTTAAGATATTTTTCTTAATTCCAGATATTATTTGTTATATAACGTCGATAGTTGAATTTTGAACCACATTAGTTTAGCTAATTTCGTTGAAAATTCTTATTGGATTACATGTTAATGATAGATAATACTAACATACGAGAAAGTGAAAATTCGAAGTTTACAGTATCACGTAATTTATGAAATTATGGGTGTGTAATCTATATAGCTAGCTTAATTTCTCACATGTTTTTGTATTTTGAACCAAAATTAAATTTAGTTCCTATATAATATCTCTTAATCTCCACTAAGAACAAAATCAAATAGAAAAATGATGAGGAGGAAGTAGGTGACCCATTAATAAGAATATCACAACTGTTTTGGAAGCAGCCCTGTGCCACTCACTATCTTATTCTTATCTCTTATCTTTCGTGATTACAAACAATATTATTATTTTTATTTTTGTTTATAAAAGCACCACTACTATTTTAGACTCCCCAAAGGTAAAAAGAAATCAAATAATATACCGTTGAAAAAAATCAGATATGATCAACCGGTGTATGAAAAAGGAAATATATAGTTACAACATACAAAACATATCATATGAATAATTAGCAGAAAAATAACGAAGATTATGGTAAATTATTTATAAATAAGGTAGCAATATCATAAGACAAAGAAAGTTACAACTTATAAGAGATATAAGATTATGCAGCACTTATTTTCTTGATCGAAAGAGAAGAAATTATTACATTTTTAGATATTTTTAAGTTTTTGAACAGTAAAAATGAAAGAAAACGAGAGCCTAAAAGTCTGTAAGTTTTTGTGAGGCCAATAAAAGAGATGATTAAAACAGAACCTAGCTAAGCAATAACAAACAAACAAATAAGCAAAATGGTCTGTGAACTGTGTGTGAACACAAACCAGATCGGTCAACAAAATCAGGTACGACTATTTACTCCACAAAGCACAAATAATATGAGGACACGTGTCCTGAAATATGAACACCTTTAAGCCGTTTCACGCACGCGTCATTCAGTCATTCGCTGCATGTCATGTTTCCCACCCGCTCTCACTCACAGGTTAGGAAACTACAGTTTACCTCCAGAAGATTCAATCATTTCCCTTTAAAATCGAAGAATTCTATAATTAGTTTACTGTTTACTCCAATAAATTTCCCCTGTTTTTTTTATTTTAATAAATATTTCTCAGAAATTTTATTTTTATTTATAAAATTTGAAAATTAAGAGTATATAATAGATACATTAAATTCCCCTATTTATAAGAATCTATTTTATACTCTTAATTTTTGGTATATATATATTTACAATTGTGTTCTTTATTTAGATACATTAAAAATTAAGAGTATATAATAGATTCTTATAACATTTATTCCTTTTAATAGTGTACCCATGTTAATAGTTATATAAACTATGTTAACAAGTAGTCATGTTTTTATATTATATTAACAAAACATTAACTTATATGATATAGAAACTAAAATTTTGAAATTTCAATTAGTTTCTAAAAGAAAAATATTAATTATTGTATAACATTATTCATAATCAAATCTTTGTTGAAGAGATAAAGGTTTTTTAACAAAAAAAAAAAGTTTGACATTAGAGAGTATAGTTGGTAACTTTAACTAGAAGTTATAGGTGGATTAAAAAAAGAAAAGTTAGGTTATATTATTAAATATTAGTTTCAAATTTTATTGTTAACAATAACACTATTAGTTTAATGTCCCAAAATTATTATAAAAAATTCTGGTTTTATCCAAAAGTACTAAAAACATAAAAATTAATTTGCAGGCATTCAAAATTTAAATTTTTAGTTTTAGTTGACTATTTTAGATTCAAAGTATAGTGTGATATTTAACTAAGAATTGTCCAATTACAGATTTTTCTTTAAACTGATATTTGTTACCGTTACTTAAAAAAAAACTATATACTGTTTTTTTTTTCTCACTGTTAAATTTTTTTTACCATCTTGTGTCATCAAACATTCTTATTTTTAAATAAAAAACGGAAAATATGAAAATAGTGTGAGAAGACTACACCCACTATATAAACACGAGCCAAGCAGGTGAGGTTAGTTCATCGGTGAGGTTGAGAGTAATTCACTACACAAAAAAAAAAAAAAATTGAGTGCCCTCCCCCAAAACAAAATTGGTAGATAACGAGCAATTGTTTTTTTTCTTCTCATTTGATCTTTCAATTTCTACATTTTCTTGCAATTTCCCCGGCCCTATTCTGGTGTCCCTCGCTTCTGTGAATCATCTGTCTTTCAAAAAGAAATAGAAAAGAAAATTCGATTTCTGGCTTTGTTTTTGTCATACAGAAAAATCAAGCTTATGAATTTGTGTTTAATTTTTTGTTTTAATTTGAAAGGCAGGTATTTTCAGAACGAGATCGTTTTTTCAAATTTCTTCTGATTTTACCTCTATTTTTTCTTCTTAGATTTTAGTAAATCGAGGGTGAATTTTTGATTCCCTCTTTTCGGATCTACACAAAGGTTGCTTATTTCAAACCTTTTAGATCCAATTTTTATTTTTATTTTCTTGAATTTCCTCGGAAAAATCCCTGTTTCTTTACTTTTTACAAGACTCAGGTTAATTTTTTCGGATTCAAATTTTATTTTAAATGGCAGCTGCTATGAATTTGTACAGTAGTAGCAGAACGTTTCAAGAATCAGATTCGTTTGTTGGTAGTGGTGGTGAACTCATGGACGCGCTTGTACCTTTTATCAAAAGCGTTTCCGATTCTCCTCCTTCCGCGTCTGCGTTTCTTCATCCCGCAGCGACTGCGTCTGCGTTTTCTCTTCCTCCTCTCCCCGGTTATTACCCGGATTCAACGTTCTTGACCCAACCGTTTTCATACGGGTCGGATCTTCAACAAACCGGATCGTTAATCGGACTCAACAACCTCTCTTCTTCTCAAATCCACCAGATCCAATCTCAGATCCATCATCCTCTTCCTCCGACGCATCACAACAACACTTTCTCGAATCTTCTCAGCCCAAAGCCGTTACTCATGAAGCAATCTGGAGTCGCCGGATCTTGTTTCGCTTACGGTTCAGGTGTTCCTCCGAAGCCGACGAAGCTTTACAGAGGTGTGAGGCAACGTCACTGGGGTAAATGGGTGGCTGAGATCCGTTTGCCGAGGAATCGAACTCGTCTTTGGCTTGGGACCTTTGACACGGCGGAGGAAGCAGCGTTGGCCTATGATAAGGCGGCGTATAAGCTGCGCGGCGATTTCGCCCGGCTTAACTTCCCTAACCTACGTCATAACGGATCTCACATCGGAGGCGATTTCGGTGAATACAAACCTCTTCACTCCTCAGTCGACGCTAAGCTTGAAGCTATTTGTAAAAGCATGGCGGAGACTCAGAAACAGGACAAACCGACGAAAGCATCGAAGAAACGTGGTTCATCGGTGACGGAGAAGAAGGTTTCGTCGCCAGATCTAACGGAGAAAGAAGTCAAGGCGGAGGAAAAATCGGTCTCGACCGCTGGATCTCCACCGGTGACGGAGTTTGAAGAGTCCACCGCCGGATCTTCGCCGTTGTCGGACTTGACGTTCGCTGATCCGGAGGAGCCGCCGCAGTGGAACGAGACGTTCTCGTTGGAGAAGTTTCCGTCGTACGAGATCGATTGGGATTCGATTTTAGCTTAGGGGCAAAATAGGAATTTCAGCCGCTTGCAATGGAGTTTTTGTGAAATTGCATGACAGGCCTAAGAGTAATTAATTAATTATGGTTTAGGGGTTAAATTTCGTATTATGTTAATATTTGTATTATGGTTTGTATTTAGTCTCTGTGTCGGTCCAGCTTGCGGTTTTTTGTCAGGCTTCGACCATGCCACAGATTTCATTTTATGTAATCTTTTTTTTTTTTTTCTCTTTTGTCTTATGTAATTTGTAGCCTCAGTTTCTTTATCTTAATGCAATTTTATTTTAGTTTTTGTAGTAAATTGAAATCTTCTCTACAATTATCTATTTGACAAGGCCATAACATTTTGATTTCGACAAACCATGTGATGTTTAAGAAGATGAACATGTAATCTAAGTACTTGAAGATTGGTTTTGTAGTTTCGGGAATGAATTTTTTTGTTAAACGTTTCATCACCAAACAGTTTTTTTTTTTTGACATGAGAAACCAATTCACAAGTCTTCACCTAAATTTGGTATTAACGTATTAACCATTTTATTACAATTCAAGTGAAACACGTCTCTTGAGTGTCGTCATAGGTTTTTTAACGTTTTCGTAATCTGTCAAACCCTCTGAAGTCATATGATTCGTCAAGATAAAATACAAAAGTCGATTTGATATTGATTGATAATTTAATATTACCCCTAAATAAGTGATGTTGTAATCGGATTGACAGAAAAATTCCAGCCCAGATTAACATCCTTGAAATATAATATCTACTAATGTTTGCAAAAATTATAAGAAAGGTTATCATATGTAAACGAAGCTATTTGATTGGTTGAGCCCCTCAACAAAGTAACGTTCTAGTGATAATAAAACAGGTGGTAGAACGGTTTTAATTTGTTCCACTAAAATTTTGTTATGTTCTCAAAAAAATGTTTATATGTGGAATTGCATCTATGAATGTTGTAACGCATTTACCTGATATAACTCATTTGCTAACACGTCACCTTATTTTTCATATCCTAGTTAGATTTTTTTGGATCTTTCTCACACGTTCTCAAATATCATTAATTGTGTGAAATATTTCTTGTCCGTTTTAATATCACTAATGGTGAAAGCTTGGCGTGTTGGTGGATGTGGCCGGCCTTGCCACAACTTTTCGTGAAGCATCTTCTATCATTTATTCACTTATATTCAAACTTGATACATATGTACTTATATCAAAAGAATCTAGAAACCCAATAATTTGATGTCACTGTAGTGAGGTAGGAAAAGACAAAGTCGGTAAGACATTAATCGAATCTTCTTCACACATTTTAGAAAAAGTAGATATGGATTTTCGCCGATACACAAAAGGTGTGACTCAAAGAAGTAAAAGGGAAAATACAAAATTCATCGTTTGTTCATCATTTTTGTTTTTCCTGAAAAATATTTTATCTCTAACATTTCAAAATAATCCACATACCCATAGTAATCATTTCTCTTTTATCTCGAACCCCACATATTAAATAATTGGAAATGATTATTTTTAAAAGAGAACCAATCAGAAAACACGACAGATTTACATGAGAAAACAGAAACCACTTGTTCTTGCACATTTGGCAAGTCTATCATCACGGAAGTTAATTTCATGGGGAATATGCATAATACTAAAATATACAAAAAGATTTGTATAGTACTTAAAATTTGTTAGCTCAGATACAAAAGTATGCCAATCTTCGATACTAACCGTCATAGCAAGTAAATCTCAACAATCCATCTAATATGTTTATTATATAAGTAGCAAATAGAGGAGAATTCCAAATTACGCAAAGGAAGCATAAAGATGGAAAATTTGAAAGGCACACAACACCAAAGGAGCCCACCAAAGATTATGTTCACACTCCATTTCTCTTCTCTTTCACATGCATTTTTCAACCATTTTTTGTATAAAAGTAGTTGTATTTATGACATTGCATTGAATTTGGTAACACCATTATTGTCCATTGACGTGTAATTTTGAATTAAAATCTATCAGCCTGAAGTAGTTTGTATCCATTTTTAATTTTGTAGTAAAATCCGTCTTTAAATCACTTTTGATTTCAACTTAGATAACCAACTTACGAAAAACAACTCAAGGACATTTGACTAATACAACAAGACCATCACATTATATAAGAGAAACAAGCCCAACAAGGCAACAACAAAGTGGTAATCTTGAGTTAAAAGTGCATTTGTTCGTGCAACTCTCCAATCTCCATATAATTAATTTTACAAATATGGGCCTTTTCAAATTAGCCCATAGTATAAAGCCCATATTTTTAGTAGATTAGAAACTAGAAAAGTATAGAAACCCATAGTTGTTTCTCGGTATGAATAATAGCTGTTAGTGGAGAATGGGCTTTTGGTGGGCTATACTATGGGCTATTGTGAGTCCGTGGATGGATCATTGATAGCCCGACCCCGACATTTCACGTTGCACACTTCTTCCGTTGTTCGTCTTTCCCTAATTAAGGTATTTTGAAGTAACGATTTTATTTTATTTCCCGTATAACCAAAAAGTTAAATATCGCAATTCGCAATATGAACACAGAACACATAAACGCCAATCTATGAGAAAGAGTAAAATTAAAGACCCCTTAATGTAAACACCATAGTTTATGTTTGGTACAAATTATGTTAAATTCACGCAAGAAAAATCTGGAAGTATTAATCGAAAGTTATGTTATTAATTATATTTCTATAGTATTGAGTCCAAATAAACAAAAGAATGCACTAATATATGGACTTTTTCATAAAGTAACTTATTCAAGTAATTAACAAAAAAAAAAGTAACTTATTCAAGTAAATGTTTAAGATTTTTGACGTTATACCGAGAGACTTTGGTACTAAGGATCAAAACGTAGTTGGATATGACAAAGAGCTTAGTGTGTAACGTGAAATGGACAAATTTATCCACTAGGAACTAGCTAATCAATCGATATTTCAAAAGATTATTAATATATCCTAAAGATTATCAACAATTAATTATACTTTATAGTAAAGATAATTTATTTTTTGCCTCCCCGCAAAAGGAACTCAAAGTACGATTACCCATTTAAATAAGCAATGCAAAAACTTTCCGTTCGTGGCAAATCTTGGGAACCTCCATTTACAAAAACAAATATTGGCGATGTATATGATTTGTAATTTATAAAGTATGGACTAAATAAATATGAAATAACATGCTCTTTCCTATTGAGATTCACCTCCAAGATTGTATGAAATCATAGCACAACAGTGGAAATAATAGTTGGGACGATAAAAGATATATAGTTAGGGATATCCCGAAAAGATTAAGTAGAAGACAGAATAATTACTACAGTAATGCATTCCGAATAGTATTTTGTTTTGTATTCTTGTTAAGAAAAGTGTGATGCACAATTCGAAGAAAAACATTTTGTTGCTTTTTTTGTGTGGATAAAAAGTAAAATTTGTTGTTGGATTTAACATACATGATTTATACAAATTGTGTTTATATATAATATAATAAATATGTTACATATTCTAGAATGTGTTGGACTAGATATTAGATAAGGGTCAATTTGGTGGTTGACATATATATGGATATTTAATATCTGATATTCTTTATATATATACACTTCTAACATGCTACCCAGATATATATTTATATAGTACAGTGCTTCAAAATACAAATGAACATTTTGTTGTTGGATTTAACATATATGTTACAATAAAATAAGAGAATATATTGGACTAGCTAAATGTCAATTTGGTGGTTGATATCAAATTAATTATTTGCTTAATTAATTGGAGAAACATTAAGTGGCAGAAAAATATTAAAAGTGGTTTAGTACTGTTACTTGATTCACTTAAAAAAAGGTTTTCATGTCGTTTAAATAAGTTGGAAACTCTATTCAGACCTAACTCTAATAGTTAACTATATATTTTTTGTCAAAATTAAATAGTTAAGTATATCTTTCAGCAGTTTCTATCAAACTAATTACATGTGTCTTCACATGACTTTACACTTTGTTTTTCTAATTTTCTGCCATAAAATCAAATAGTACTAAATAATGTGCATATATACCACACAAAAATTTGTAAAATATACAAATTTTGACTAATATAAATGTATTGAAAGTTTAGTCATATAACCGACCACTACACTTATGCAGTTTGATAGTGAAGTCGAAGTTGGCATAAAGGGACTGAGGGACATCAATATTTCAAACGGGGTAATTATTGGTCGGAATATGTTATGCTTTCTTTCTTGTAGTATAATAGTAAACTTCAGCATGGTATACTTCATACATATTGATTGTTGTTAAGTATATTGAAAAAACTTTATAAATTTTTGTCCTGAATTGTGTAGCTATAATAACCTCATATAAAGATTTTGAGAATTTTTTTTGTAACCCACTAAAACTGTTGCAGAAGCCTTAGTTTGGATCAACAAACCAATATGTTGAGTTGTATGTTAACTTGTAAAGCATGATCTTTCGTTAACGTACGTTGTATAAAACCATCATTTTTATGTTGATAATTTGTTTGTTCTAATTCGTTTAATATATATCGTTGCAAATTTTCATATACTTAGCATCTGCTGTTCAGTTCAACAATTTAGTTACACGCAGATATTGTTACTTTTAAACAAAAACATAGGCATCATCACTTGTACACAAGTTAATTTGCGTACATTGTTGGATTAATCTTGATTTTTGCATTTCTTCTTCATAATATATTTTTGATTAAAATCAACTGAAGAAATTTATAATCGATCCCTAGTATATTAAATAGTAGAATTTAATTCCTAAACGTATTCAACTCACTGCAAAATTATATATTTTTCATCTAAATTAATTTGTACTCGTTTAACTAACTTCGTAAAACTTAATTTAAATTATAATTTAATCAGTGAAAATAAAGCTTCCATTACATATATTGACTATAAAAACTACCCAATACATTTCTATTTTGTTGGTTCGAGTGAGTTTTTAATATTGTTCATATCAATAAAATAGTACACGATATTATTGATCGCACCATAGCAAAAAACAATGATGATATTGTTTTAAAACAATCAAACTAACATTGAATATAACATTTGGAAAGAAAGAACACTAAAGAA